AGTAGCCATTTAGCAAGGCATTCAAGATAAAAATTTGAAAAACAACTAATTAAGTTAACGAAGGTTAATAAGCTAAAATGAGACTGAGACTTATTTTTTTTTATTCATTTCATTTAAAATTTATGTTATTGTTTAGTTAGGACTGTACTTTATTCATCTACAACAACCTCAATGGGATCCTAACTGGGATATTGTCATAGAAATGTGTTTTTTTTTATTTCAGATGATATGCTATATCATTTTAGCTTTTTTCTTTTTCTTTCATTTGTGTGTGTGTGTTTAGCTGACACTTAGTCCCTCACTTTATTATTCTCAGAAACCTTTGCCACTGCCTGTTATTACATTCTTGGTAAAACATTTTGTACTAGTAACCAAGCACAGGCTGAATAAGTGTTAGGCTAATGTTCTCTGTCATTTTAACTTATGTACCTACATTGACGTATAGTTGATTGATTTCATTGCCCCCGAGTGTAACAAAGCTTAATACCTGGTCTTTCTGGAGAACAAAAATGAGCTGACTGTTCCATGAACTCCAAAGACACATATTGTGCACACTTTTTGTGAGACAACAGACATAACAAGCTAAAAGGCAGCTAACATTTGCATAACTAACACTAGTGAAAGGTGGTTAATAGTGGCATTAACTACCTCAAGTTGCTTGATATTATTGGCAGATACACCTACAGTAGGCTATAACTTAGTATAAGTCATACATCCTAACAGACTCTCTATAAATCTGACTGAGAGAAGGAGTTTAACTCACCTTCAGCATGTAAGTTAGAGCAGGGGTCCTCAACCCCCGGTCCCCAGACTGGTACCGGGCTCCAAAGAAAAAAAAATTGTAGTTAAAATTATAGTTATTTTTGTTTCATTAGTCGTCCAGATCTTATTTTGAAAAACGACTGTTTCCGCCTCGCCTCACTACCGCACTTGACTCTGGCATGCCATTTCACGCATCAGCGACACAAGCTAACCCTTGAAAATAAAAAGAGCCAAAAACAAAATTCATTAGAGAGCTGTTTCGGGAAGGAACGAGCAAACGATGGGACAGCAGAATGGTCACAGGCTGCCAGCAAAAAAAAAAAAGCTGCATTTAAAAGAAAATACCACGATTCCTACCTAAGTTACAGGTTCATCACAACAGGTGATACACAAGCTCCACACCCGCTATGCATAATTTGCGGTGACTGACAAGCTAATGAAGCCATGAAACCCTCAAAAATGCTCTGCCACATTGAGACAAAACACCCTGCATTAAAAGACAAGCCCTTGGTATTTTTGAAAGAAAAAACATGAACATGAAGGACAAAAACAGTTATTGAGGGCTACCACTTCAACAATTGTGTCTGTACTGAAAGCATCATTCTTAGTTACAGAGTAGACTGGATATACGGAACACAATTCGAGTGTCACTGTCTCCCATCACCCCCAGATAGGACCATCTAGTTGCAGGGAAACAAGCCCAGGGCTCCCACTGACTCTGCATTATGGTGAGTTGATATTATAGTGTAAAATTATTGTAATTGCCTTATATAAAGTGTAATCGTTGCATTCAGATTACATACTATGAACTGACAAAGGTTTTTGTTATTGTAACCATCGCGCCTCTACCCGGTCCAGGGACAAATTTTCATGCATGAAACTGGTCCCTGGTACAAAAATGGTTGGGGGCTGCTGAGTTAGAGAGCTCTCCAAGCCCACAACAAATGCGGTGAAGTGTTGGAGAAACTGGCCGAGCAGTTAACAGACTCTGGCTGTCGTCGAGTTGTCTTCCAGGAGATGGAGCTTTCCATTTCAAACAAAACATAGTTTCATTTACCTTAACATGATTGAGATTGGTAGATTGTACATCCCTCAAGATTAAATGAATTTTACAAGACTGAAATAAAGTATGTCAGGAAAAGAAATATAAACCAATTGTGTAATATATACTAAATAAACTCATCAGTCCACCATTTCCCTTATTTTCAGTGTAATTGTATGTAAACTTATGACTTCAACTATGTCTGTCAAACTGCATTATGTTGCTTCCCACTGGAAATCAGATCCAGTGAGAGTGTTTTTGTATTTTGGCATCATACAACCAACAATCCTCGAGTCACTTTGAGCAAGGCCCTGAACCCACATCCTAAAGAGCCCATAACATGCTCGGTTCCAGCCATTTAATGTTTAATCTTGGGTACCTCTAGATTAGCTTTGCACCCCTCATTACTCCAAACAGTTTGTAATTATTTCAGAATGATAAAACCTGAGAGCCTCTTCCTAAATATGAGAGGATAGTTTGTGAAAGTGCTCCTGCAGCTGGTGTTGTGTTGAAAATGGACAGCACAACAAACTACAACAGCATTAATTAATTTGAATTTCTCTTCCATAGATAGGTAAACAACAGTATATGTACCGATGAAAAGACATTTGTAACACTCTAAACAAAGCGGGTAATTGAGAAAGCCCATATTTTAACTAGCATAATGCAGACATAGTATAGTAACTTCTCCAGCCTTACAACAATTTTCTACAGAAACAATGCATTAACAGGCATGCAATGTGTGTGGCTTTTTTAAATTTACTGTTCAGTCCCACCGATTAGTGGAAACATCACTCCCTTTCAAGTAGCTCCAAGGTCAGTAAATCCAACTGGTGGTCGTTGCAGCTTTGCCCACATGACCACATACATTCCCAAAGTAGTGAAATTAGTTCCATCAGGTAGCGTAGCACCGACAATAACATCATTGATCATTCAAATTCTCTCGCCAACACACAACACATCACATGTGGCAGACACACTGGCCTCAAGCAGTCAAAACAAACAGGTACTGTGCTCCGGAGAGGTCCAGCATAGATGAGCTGATCATTCACCACCCCAGGGTTCTTCACTGGCTGGCTGATGGTAGGTTAGATCCAGTCAGGTAAAACAGTCAGTCCCTGTACAGGAACATTCCTGAACATGCAGTAACCTCAGGCTCTGGATTTTTCTCCACATCCTCTGGTCACAGTGCAGGCAGCAGCAGGTAAAGTATATCTACAAAACCAGGTGCAGTCAAAAAATTCTGTTTTTACAGTGGCACCTGTGGATGTCAGTTAAGCTCACATGAACGTGCAACTGCCTGGAGATTATGACCATTGAAGGAAATACTTAACCCTGAAAATACATCCATAAAATGCCCTAGGGGACAAATTTGTCCCCAGATCACATAAGGGTGTAAAATTTTTATCAATTCATATTTTTTTCCACTTTAAACTAGTCAATCTTGTAAAACTACTTCTGCCTGAAAAATACATATCAAATATGAAATATATCTTTGGGATTTTTAACCCTTTATAGGCCAGTATGTTTACATAACTCCACTGTATTTATATGGGGAAAAAACGAAAAACTAAGATATTCTTGAAAAAATACATTTATCCTATACAGAGGAGGTCTCAGAGTCCTCAGAAGAGGATGAAGCGCTGTCCTCACTCTCAGTTGCCATCACTTCTTCCAGTACCTCCACTGTGGTGTATCTTCTCACCATTTAAAAAGTACTACTCCAACTGACTAGTCCTGCACTACTGATCTCATACTTATAACTTTGGCTGCAGCGCACCTGCATAAACAACCTGAACAAGAACCCAAACAAAGTCCAGTTCTGTCTGGGCTCTTGATTCTCATCTTGAATTATTTGTGCGGCCTTCAGACACACATGCATGCATGCACACAGACAAACACACAATTCATGGAGTGCGCATTATGCAGATCCCAGCGGCGAAGTTGGCCCTGCACACATTGGGATCTGTGTGATCAGATCCCAGACACACATTGCATCAATATAGCCTCAATAGTGATACACACTTTATCATTTTTATTCATTTTTAGCCATTATTAGCAAGGCACCCTTGCAAAAAACAATGAAAAAGTGAAATTTTGATGAAATTGACCCTAGGATCTGAAAATGGTCTCGTGTCAGCATCTGCTAGACAACTATAAGAATTGCAAGTTGGGACCCATTAGTTGGAAATGCATTTGTAACATCGTGCATCACACTACTCTATATTAGATTAAATTTGGAATAAAAAAAATATGTTTTTAATGGTTTTAAATGGGGTCAAATTTGTCCCCAGGACCCTTTATGGATGTAATTTTATATTTTTGCCATTTTAGGCTGATTTAAGGAGGTGAGACCTCAATTTTAATTTAAAAAAATATATATTATTTGCCAAATTTGAGCTACATTCATTCAACATAGCCAAGATGGCATCAAAAAGAAATACGGGAATGAACTCCAAAACCCAAAAATGTCCCCAAGACCTCAGAGGGTTTTAAAATATTGCCTAATACTTTATTTTGTTTAAAAAAAAAGTTTTGCAAGCGAGAGTTTGCGAGACTAGTATAAACTGAGTTTCTTCTACATAAAAGTACTAGAACATACGTACACTTCATTTTTTTAGCTTTAGGTCATGCAATTAGTCCCATAGGTTTTTATTTTGTCAGAACTACTGTTTCCGCTGTGCTACTTTCGGTCCTTTGACGAGAGAGAAGACTAGCAGCAGAGAAAAATACAGAAGAAAAGGACACTTAAAACATTAATTTAAGAAGTTTATGTTGAGTTTTACTACCAGCCTTTGCTCACAAGCAAGCCAAAGTGGTATGTCTCAGTTTTGTTTATGAATTTATTGTTGCACCATGTCTATGCAATGTGAAGTGATGCAGTTGTTTATTTCCGTTGTATTTACCTTGTTTGTTAGTTCTACGGTGTTTGGTGTTTGGTATAAAGGAAGACCACACTAAACATCAGTGAAAAGAAACTCCTGTCTTCGCGTGTGACTGAGGCCGGCATAGACATGATAATTCACCATTGTAACATTGTAGATAAGTCAGAGAACAAGGAGAAGCATGTCATGGGCTCTTTAAGTAGTTGAGCAGCCCAGCAAACACAAGACTATGATGACATGTTAGAAAGAGCCTGCACTCCTTTCTAAATCTGCCCCTTGCCCCCACCACACCTCCTCCTCCATGTCCTCACCACAACAGGCTGAAGGAAGCCAATGAAAGTACAGAAGCGGCCCCTCTCCTCCACCAAGGCACGGCGCACTGCCTGTTTTTCTGTCTCCTCCATCAACAGGCACATGTCGGTTACATCCTGCATCGCACTGTCCAGCTGAGGCTGCAGGTCTCCCCGCCCTAGGACAAGCAGGACAGTGGTGGTGAGAAGAAAACTGGACAGAAAAGAGTGTGACAGGTTCGTCAGAGAGAAGATGATAGAAA